TTTTATGTCATGATGCACCACACATTGCTCCCACTCCTCGTGTAAATAGACGAACCCTGAAGCTAACCCTTAAGCTATTTGTACCTAAAAGACCAAGATAAGGGTGGCTTCGTACCAAATAAGTGAATCCAAGCTACCATTTGGCATAAATTCGTAAAGAAGTAAAAATTCACCATTATCATGGCACAACCAACAAGGTTTCTATGCCTTAACCTACTAATAATCTTAACCTCGACAACATACTCTTTTTAACCCTGTCTTGATCCCCTGGATATATTTTTTTTACCGCGATTGGCATATCCAAATCAACAAGATAGCCCTTGTAAACACCTCCGAATCCTCCTTCTCCCAGCTTTCGTTTACTAGAGAAATTATGGGTGGCTGATTTATGCTCGAAATAAGAAAACCTTCTTGGTCCGGTTCCTCTCTCGAGTTCATCATTGAATTAGCTTTCCTCATCCTTTTGTAATTTGACTTGTTTCTTCCTTCTATATAGAAAGAACACTATAATTCCTCCCAGAATAACAAACAAAAGACCTATCGATACAATTATCATGCCCTCATTTAATTTTATCTTCTTAAAAGAACCATTATTATTATCGAGTAATTCCCTATTCCTCACTGTGAGGAACAAGTTTTGTTCCTTACAGGGTATGTGTCAAGAGCAGAGAGGTCCACCCAAAATTGACAGGCGGTCCCCACTAATGAAAAACATCGCATTATTTTCCAGAATATTACTCCCATGACGAGGAATTGGGGCTCCCTCATCATTAGACATCAAACTAGAATAGAACTCCCATGATTCAAGAATGTGTCCCTCCTTACTTATCCCAGTCGCGGCAGAAAATCCAATGTTAACCCATTCAGGGAAGATCTTCATAAGGTTAATTGGTAAAGACGTACTTAAATTTCTACCAAAATTCGGATCATCCTTATAAGTCCAAAACACGCTCAAAATCTCAGTAGTCGCGCTATAAATGATCCAAATATCGGCAGATTGTCTACTATGCTCACTACCATTCCAAGGTTTATCAACAGACGAACTAACGGAGTTGACATTGATACCAACATGCTGATAATCAGGCTCAAATCCACCATTACCATACGAGTCAAACTCGATTACAATCATCTGATTAGTTGATAGATCGCATGTTGTAGTGTTAAAGAGGCCTAGATAGCTAGCGGTAGAGTTTGGAGGGATTTCGAAACCAACCGGAGCAATGAAAAATGTGAATCCATGGTCATGCATAGTTACATTTTTTTGCCCCAAAGTGTCAACTACGAAGGTGAAATGAGTAGTAAAATCGGACATTTTTCCTGAATTTTTATCCCAAAGTCGTACCTTCTCACCATAGGTAATTAGACCAACACGGTACAATGGTGTATGTAGGTTCATCTCTATGTTACCTAGGGAATATACAGCGTCTCCCTGGAGATTTATGTTTGATGAGTCTGGATAAAAGCGAGAATAGTTGAATGAAATCGAGTTAACATTCCGAACTAAAGAAAGGCAAAGAAGGGCAAAGATTTATGTTTTTTATCAGTTTGTTCGCCCGATTGGGCACGATTGTAAAGTTGTTTTGAAAAAACGAAGAGAGTAATAGTCAAAGATTTTAAATATGAATATTTATTTTGAAACGAAGGGAGTAACATACCAACTTAAATAACTAAAACTAATGAACATACCCTAGTGAATAGTATTTTTAAATAATACCTCTGTTTTATTTGCTTAACCTACGTCCCCTTACGCACCTACCTATAGCTCATTAGCACGCAATATGAGAAAGAAATTAGATAAGATGCCAAGTAGGGGTGGTTATTGGGTGGGTCAGTGCGGGTAATTAGCGGGGCGGGTCGATTGCAGGTCAAGATGAATATTTAGCGGGTCAGGGTCAATGCGGATTAGGGTCGGGTCAGGGTCGAGATAAAAGTGAAACGGGCCATTACCGGGTCTTTACCCACATTGAAAACAGAGAAAAAAAGGAAAAAAATAAATAAAATGAAATTAAAAGTGGACCGCTAAACGTTGCCCTCGAATCTCTAACTAACGCTCGCAAAATAACCTAAAATGACGTACATAGCCTTGTTATAAAAAATATTATAAAATAATTATTTTTACATAAACTTAATAGTTTTACCCTACATAAAATTATTTACCGTTCTCTCTAGTCCTCACACCAGCCACCAACGATCGCGTTGAACCACCAACCATTATAATTTTAAAAATCAAACAAATAATTTAAATTTTGCAAAACCTAATTTGTTGGATCCCATGGAAGATAACGAAAGGCCGGAAACACCACCTACGTTGGTCGCGGAAGGCTCGTCAGACCGTACCGAATCGATAATTTTCTTTTTCGAAATTCCAATTATTTAATTTTCTATTTTCGAAATTTCCAGGTAAACGCCCAGAAATTTCGAAAAACCTAGGCTGAAACGCCTAGTTTTTTCAAACACCCTAGGGTCCTAGGCTGAAACGCCTAGTTTTTTCAAACACCCTAGGGTATTTCGAAAAAACTAGGCGTTTCAGCCTAGGTATTTCGAAAAAATAGGCGTTTTAGCCTAGATATTTCGAAAAAACTAGGCGTTTCAACCTAGGTTTTTCGAAATTTCTGGGCGTTTGCCTGAAAATTTCGAATTTTTTTTTATCAATATTGAAATTTAATTCTTAAAAAATCACATTGACGCCTGATATTTTCTATCAATTCCGATTGTTTTACTTTGAAAGATGACCAAGTACAGTAGTAGTAATCACTTGTCAATATTATCAGAGTAGTTAGCTCTACAACCTCATTTGAAAGATCAACTATAATAGATGAATTGTTTTTAAGAGAGAGAAGAGGAAGTGAGCGTTTTGGGAGGTAAATTGTGTTTTGAAGGTAAATTCTTTTATTTTATATAAGGGTAAATTTGTAAAATAAATTTTATTTGCGGGCGTTAGTCGGAGATTCGAGGGCTATATTTAACAACAAAAGGAAAATGAAACCAAATTCCCCAAAATCAATCAGACCCCCCTATTCTCTTCCTCTTCGTGATAATAACAAAATCTTTCATAGATGAGTAATGAGAAATTAATATATAATGGTGAGCTTGTTCTTGTATTTTTAGTCTTTTGAAAATTTTGTTGAATTAGATCTAATTCATATTAACATTCTATCCGAACAACATGATGAATTTGAAATTCTAGAATTTAAATTCTAGCAATTTCCCAAACACTGCCTTAAAAATGTTGATATGGATTTTCAAATTTAGCTCTGCATATTTTCAATTTTTTTTATTAATATCTGTCGAGTGACATAATTAGTTGGATTCAGGTAGCTTAAGGTACAATCAATGAACCAATTGACAAAAATTGTCATTTATACTTAGTTTATAATTGTAATTATTGTAATAACAAGTCAGAATAAAATAAACTATTGGAATGTAAATTACTTCAAATGGAACAAAATTTGGTACTCGACGAAGAAGAAGGATCACCGATTGCCGCCGCCATAGAATCGCCGGCAGAAGGTAATTGACGATGTGATGATTTTCTCTCTCCTTTGACCGCGTTGTTGATGCTTAGGAAAGCGGCTTTAATGGAGAACTCTGAGTGCGCTTCAATGGAGAACTCTGAGAAGCGGCTTCAATGGAGAACTCTGAGTGCGCTTCAATGGAGAACTCGTGAGAAGCGGCAATGGAGGAGAGAGAAAGGTGGGCGCAAGAACAGAGGAGAAGAGAGAGAAAATGAAAGGAAGGTTGACCCTAACCATTATTATTGAGTTTTTTTTATTTTAATTTTTAAGCCCTATCTATTAAAAAATAAGATCATATAAAAAATCTATAAAATAAGATCATATAAAAACCCTATAAAATAAGATCTTATAAAAGCTCTGTCTATTAAAAAATTGACCCTTTGATTTTTGACCCGACCCTTTTGTCATTGGTTAGTCCTACCCAATAACCACCCCCTAATGCCAAGTAATAATTACTAAAATACGAAGTAGATAAAGTTAAACCCAAAATAGTTCTGATCCTCTTACTAGTGATTATAATTTATTGTATAGAACAATTTGATTAACTTATTACCTTCTCTCTTTCTTAAATTTTGTGAGATGAGACTATTGATCAAGTAAAAAAAAAAAGAAAAGGAAGTATCATCTTATGAAAAGTTGAGGAGTACTCCGTATTAGAATTGTTTCACTAAGACTTAAGTATATCTTTTGTATAAAATATAAAAACCTGATGATTTATTCATAATAAAATTATGCAAAGATAATTAAAATATCCAAGATCAAGTTAGGCCTTATGCCTTTACCATAAATTTATCAACTTTATAAAATTTGATGACTTATTCCATAATATCTTTAGTTTTGCTTTCCTGTATATGTTTGAGTTTTTTACTTTTTTTTTTTTTTTTTCTTGTATTATATAAAAAAGAATTTTCACTAATTAAATTCCAAACTCCCTATAAACTACAATAGCTTAAATTATTAGGAGCTTTAACCTCCTAATACTATATTGTGTTAAGCTTAATATATAAGATCATGATAAAATAACGTTATTCTATGTTAATGCGCGCACATCAACATCAATGTTCATGAATAATTGACACAGTCAAACTTGATACATACACATGTCAATGTATTAGTTTAACCTTATATATATATGGTTAAATATTAGTAAAAAATATAAAAAATTTGATATTATGAAACTTTATATTGATACCTAATTAACAATATATTTCATGATAAAATTTGTATTTTATACGCTATTAAAAAACAATGGTCAATGTTAGTTTATGAATAGCGAAAAATAGTCAATCCAAATGTGTCAATTATTTAGGAACGGGGAGAGTAATTAGTTGGACAATTTCATGTTAATTCTATAACAAGATTCACATACAGAGAAGTATGCAACAAAAAACTTATTCCACTCAATGTATAGTCTTAATTATGTATACAACAATCAACATATTTCATAAAACAATTGCTAAAAGAAACCGTATGCTATGTTTATAACTCTATGAACAAATCAACAATTATGATGAATGAATATCTATAATAATATGATACGGATTTTTGTATCTAACGACCAATTTTAAGGCTTGTACTAAGCATTGAAGGGCAACTAGAGCCGTCTGACGGCTGCAGTACTGGAACATGATAGGTCGGAATAGGCATCGCCGGTGGAAGACTAGGCAATGCAGCCTCAAAATTGAGCACTTGAATAGCTTGTTTTATAGATGGCCTATAATTGTAATCAGGATGAACACACCACAAACCAACTAGCATCAAACACTCGACTTGTTTAACATCGAATTCCCTACGAAGCCTTTGATCAGAAGCCGAAAGTAGCCTCCCGTTGCCATAGAGATCCCACACCCATTGTATCAATCCCTTCATATTAGTCCCCTCATCAATTGGATCTATTAACCTCCTTCCGGTAGCTATCTCTAATGCAACCACGCCAAAACTGTATACATCCGATTCTTTACTAGCCTTTCGTGTACTTATGTATTCCGGTGCCATGTACCCTATAGTCCCAGCCAGAGTTATTGTCTGTGCAGCACGTCCATGTTCCATCACCGTTGCTAGACCAAAATCCCCTAGCTTGACATTAAAATTAGAATCTAGCATTATATTGCTCGACTTTATGTCACGATGCACAACACATTGCTCCCATTCTTCGTGTAAATAAAGCAATCCCGAAGCTAACCCTTGAGCTATTTTGTATCTCAAAGGCCAAGATAAGGGTGTCTTCTTGCCAAATAAGTGACAATCCAAGCTACCATTTGGCATAAACTCGTAAACAAGTAACAATTTAGTTTTATCATGGCACCAACCCAATAGTTGTACAATATTTCGATGCCTTAGCCTACTAATAATCTTGACCTCGGCTATGTATTCTTTTTTCCCCTGTTTTGATCCCCTGGATATTTTTTTCACCGCGATTGGTAGATCCAAGTCGTTAAGATAGCCCTTGTAAACGGCTCCGAACCCTCCCTTCCCCAACTTATGCTCACTTGCGAAATTGTTGGTGGCTGATTCAAGCTCGGAATAAGAAAACCTTCTAGGCCCGACCCCTCTCTCAAGTTCATCATTGAATGAGGTTTCCTCTTCCTGTTTCATTTTCGCCTCCTTCCTCTTTCGATGCAAAAACAACACTAGTATCCCTCCCAAAATAGCAATGAACGCGAATGATGATACAACAACAACAATAACAATAATCCGCTCCTTAGATTTGTTATCCTTGGGATGATCATCACTATTTTTATTATTAGTAAACTCGATTTTTTTCTCAGGAAGATCACTAGTATTATTGTCAATAGACTTCTTCAAAGTAGAATAGAATTCCCATGATTCAAGAGTATGTCGCTCCTTAACTTGCCCAGTTCCCGCAGAAAAACCAATGTTAACCCATTCAGGGACGACTTTCATAAGATCAATTGGTAAAGACAAATTTGAATCTTTGTTAAAATTTGGATCGTTCTTGTATGACCAAAACACGGTTAAAACCTTAGCAGTCGCGTTATAGATGATCCGAACATCAGCAGGTTGTTTACTATGCTCACTCGCGTTCCATGGTTTATGAGCCGAAGAATTGAGAGAGTTGACGTTGATACCAACATGCTCCTTATCACTAGGATCAAAAGCATTTGGAAATGAGTCAAACTCGACTACAATTATTGGTGTACTCGACGTTACATATGTTGTTTGATTAAATAGGCCTAGATATGGACCGTCGGAGCCAGGTGGGATTTTAAAACCCACCGGAGCAATGAAAAATGTGAACCCATGCCCGTATTTAGGTGCCTTGAAAGTGTCAACAACGAAGGTGAAATGTGTTGAAAACTCGGCGATTTTGCCTAAACTTTTATCCCAAAGGCGCACACTCTCACCATATGTAACGATACCAACACGTTCTTTGTGAGTAACATAGTTGAACTCTATTTTGCCAAGGGAATTTTCAGCATTACCCTGGAAATGTAAATTTGAGTCTGAATTAAAGTGAGAATAGTTAAATGAAATAGAGGTAACAATTCGAAGATGAGAAAGTGTGAGAAGGGCAAAGATTAGAGGGAAACAAATCGAAATAACTCGAAAAAATGGTGGGAAGCTAAGGAAGAAAGAGTTAGCCATTCTATGGAAAAAATGGACAGAGTTTGGAATGAAGAACAGAATTTTCTTATAACATTTAATATTGTTCTTATCATTATATAGATGAAGTATATATCAATAATATTATAGTATTATATACTATACATATTGTATATAGTTTGTAAATGATAGTGTCAAACAAATTTAGGAAAAAATTATACCCTTTTAAGTTTTAATTCATGCCTTCAACATCATATTATACATCGTGATGAACACTTTGCGATTAATTATATCTTTGAGAGTATTTAGCTATTTTCTATTTCTTAATTTTATTGTAACTTGTCAACTGGCTTTAAAAAAATAGTTTTTGTCAACTTGATCAAGAAAATGTATAGAACTAAGAGATCGAGACATGGTCTTCTTGTCCTCCAAAGTCAATTGACATAATCAGAGCCCTCACAATAAGGGGGTTAAGGGTAACCGGGTGATAAACGGGTCTGGGCCACACCCGCTACAAGTGTCCACTTTTATGACCAAGAAGGTGTTGGTTTAACGGTGCGCGAGCACTGTGCGGAACCAAAACCCGCCCCGGACCACATGCATAATTAATACAACTAACTAACAAACATGCAATTAATAAAGCGATAAACACATAAAGAGGGCGAACTTAAAGGTTTTCTCACGCTTTTGGGAGATGCCTAATTGAGTTCTACTAAAATTCTGTTAATTCCCATCTTTCAAGTTGGTATTTATAGGCAAAGCATTCCAAAAATCCTCAATCATCTTTCCATGTGGGAGAGTTGATAAAAAAGTGAGAAAATTAAATAAGCTTTTGATTTAATTCTAAATTAAATTAATTAGCATAAATAATAAGCAAATGGCAAGTGTCAATCCAAGGGAGGGGTTAGGTAAGGACCACAAACCCTCCCCTTGGAGAGCAAACCCAACAACCCCATGTGCACGACACGCCCCTAGCCTTGGGCCCAAGGCCTGCCACGCTAGCAGCCTTGGCCTTCGGCTGGGCCTGCCTCGCAAGCCCAACGCGTTGCTGGGTTTGTGGTCTGCAGGCTGGCCTCGCTGGCTGGCAACGTACGCAAGCGTGCAGGGCCCATGAGCCTTGCTGCACGCAATGGCGTGCGGGCTTGGTGCCCTTGCTGCGAGCTTGCGGACTAGCGCTGCTAGCAGTGCATTGCTCGGCCAGCTCGCCCAGCCAGCACACATGCGTGGCTGCTAAGCTTACGGCTAAGGCAAGCACATGGCTAGCAGCCTTGCTAGCCTAGCGCGCCTAGCCCTCGCTTGGCTAAGCAAATTGCGAGGCTAGGACTTTGCGCGTTGACTTGTCATTTGACTTATTTTATCGTCTTCTAGATTCATTGAATCGACTCGACATTCGACACTCTAAGCTCGGAATCCGACGTCTGAGTTCGTAAAATCCTTGTTGACTTATTTAATCCTTCGGATTAATTCATCGCCTTTTTCGGTTACACGATTGGGTGTGACCCGTAGGGTTCAGTCAAGAGCAAGTTGTAAGATTAATTATATATTAATCTTACTGATTGGAAGCAGCCTCCAGCTAGGCGTTCCGATCACTTGACTTCATGGAATAATTAGGTTTCCTAATTAATTCTGAACCCTTTATCGAAATAATACACATGTTCGAAGGACACCATTCCTTTCAATCTCCCACTTGTCCTTCCGGACAAGTGTGTTGTATGTGTATTGCCTTTTTCCTATGTCACTTAATGCCTCTTCATGAACTATAAGGTAAGATTTATCGTCATCCTTATTACGTCTAGAAGTGTTTCTCGATATTTCGAGTTCAACTGTTAATTAGTACGATAGTTTCTAAAATAATTATAAGCACGGCCATGCATATTCACAGTCTCGCTCTTTGACAAGCCTTGTAAATAACAAAGACATGTTTTCTATTGTTAATAGGAAGACATTCCCAGTCTTGCAATGTCAAGCTTCTATTACTAAGAGACCATAGCTTCCTGAGTGTTGCCTTTATAATCCCCATGTACGGCAGACGTTTGACAACATCAAAACGGACTAGTACTCAAACAAGAGAACTTACAATGCTCATGGTTGAGGAAAGAGGTTCCGATAACCATAATGAGTAAGATACTTATGACGATTATTAAATCTCTTAAAGTATTCTCATAGGTCGATCTAGTATAGTCCAAAATAATACCTGTGCAAATGATTTATGACATTTTTGTCCTTGTAGCACAAGAAACAGTGCTATAAATCATACTACACACTAATCTCGCGTGTTCATTAGTCGTCCAACTTTCAAATGACCTTGATTAGGGATGATTTTGATATGATATTCAATGTTCACTTAATAGGTGTTTCTTTATCCAAGACCTTGTCTTGATACCTTATTTTGAATACCGTCAAATCGAATGTATTCATTATTTAATTCTAAACCTCAATTAAATAGATCATGGAATAATAATCATATTTATTCCACTATGAAACTTTTCAACGTTTTATCTTATGATGAATGGTTTTCCCAAACATTTTAAGAGTAATTCTCTCTACAAAAACTTATAGAAATCACACCCATATCTAATACGCTTGATTTCTTTTATGAAATTATGAATGTTGTGGTTCACTTATTGCATAAGTTTAGTTATCATTACTTTGTAAATATTAGCATCTTCATTATCGAAGACTTTCATAATAAGATAAAAAAATTCTAGTGTGTTATGTATTACATGTGATTTGGATTTTGTTGCCCAAGTGATGTCTCCCACTCATTTTCATGATTCGTGACCTTCAACTTGGAAACCTATAATCATTAAAGTTCAACTACGAACTATCCATTGAACAACTTCACTTTTATTGCCTCTAAGGCAACAATACTCTCAACATATACTTTAGTAGACTTTCTAATAATGCTTGGCTTGGATTTTACTCCAACCAATCCACCATGATTTGGGATACCCTAATCATTTGTGATCAAGGAAATTTAGCTTATATTTCCGCACATTACACATGGATGCAAGTCTATGTTATCATTCTCAAGCCACGACTCATCTAAACTCGTGCGTATAAATAGCTTCCTTATTAAGGATATAATCCTTGCTAAGGTTGTGCTTGCAGCATCAAAACTCATATTATATTTATTTTCATGCATCAAGAACTCATCCTCTTACTTAACGAAGTACTTTGGATGTTCTTGATCATAATCTAACAATCCATTACTTAGATTTAAATTGATTGGTACTTTATACTTGTCATGCTCTAAGCACGCAATTCATATGACGATTCCATACCGTAACATACATGATGGATTCAATTGCAGAACTATTCCTAATTTGATCCCACTATCAAAGTCTTATACTTAGTTCAAACATTTACTTAATTTTATACATATGGATCGAAAGGCTTTTCAAGTCCTTCATGTTTAACACGGTAAATTCCTTTACTCGTTCGAACATTTTATTAATTCTATCTAATACATCTTGATTCCCACTGTGTACTAAGTATCGCCTTTAGCTTGGTCCATTATTGAGAAGATTGACTTGGGGGTTGAGGACAGCAAGTTCCATAAGAACTTGGCCTGCGACGTTCCAGCAAGGAGCTGAAGAATAAAGGACAACAATAACTTAATCCTGGTATGCGTGAAGTCCAAGTATCCTTAACTTACAGCGAGCGATTGACGAGACAATTTAGCTAGAGAATATAAGTTTATGTTAAGTTTATTTTTCTAAGGATTGTTGTAAATATGTTAGGAAAGTTTATGCATGGGATTTATTAGAAGCGTGACAAAGCTTGACAAACTTTAAAAATGGAAAGTTTATAAAAGATAAGTTTTAATTTTATGAAAAGATTTTATTTTATAAAATCCGGTTTTACAAATATCATTCTTTTCAGAAATTATGTCTTTGATAAGTTTTCTAAAAAGATGTTCTTCTAAAAAAATTTATATAAATGTGGCATTATGAAAACGGCGGTTTTATAATTTCTATCTTTTGAAAACCTACTTTACATACGAGTATAACTTGTATATAAGGGAGAATTCATAATTAGCACAGATTTGTGACTTTATGCGTGAAGAATCTGAAGAGAGCTCTAGAGTGTTAGTTTTCCAAGTCTAAACTTTGTCATTAGTTTCAAATTCCATGTGTAGCTTTCCAGTCACATATTAAAGTCAAAGAGTTTGTATTGTTTTGGTTTTTAGGTGTGTGTGTTAAGCAAACTGCATACAGATTGTAGGCTTCTAGGTTGAAGCTGAGAGTGTGGGCATTCAAAGAGTGTCGAGTAAATCTAAGTCAAGGACTTAGGTTGGGTAGAATAGGGTTCTACTGTGTAGCAAGTTCAGTCTGGAACTTGTGAGAAAGGTCTGATTATAATAGGTTGTAACTAGGAGAGTTTGCCCTATTATAGTGGATTGATTTGGTGTTTGAAATCCCTTGGAGGGTCGAGGTTTTACTTCCAATTAGGCCTGATATACGTGTTTTATACAATGGTTTTCCCCGGTTTTACTTAGTAATTTTATATGGTTTTGAGCTCTACGGAGCCATTTCTTGCTAACAATCTCTTCTTTAGTGTATTCGATTGTTTTAGTAAGCTTTTCAGGAATATGAAGCGTTTCTAGGCAATTGGACGTGTTTTTAGTAGATTCGGAAGAGTTGATAGCCAAGAACTGCAATTTATGTGGAGTGCCCGACCGGGCATGGCTTGCCCGGGCAGACCGGGCAATGAAGAGTTCACAGGAAGAAGCCCAATTCTGAACGGTGCAACGCGCGCCCGATCGGGCAGGCTTCGCCCGGTCAGACCGGGCGATGAAGAAGTCAAGTTATGAAGATGCAATTCTGGAAACGTGTTACGCGCGCCCGACCGGGCGAGGTTCGCCCGGTCTGACCGGGCAAAGAAGGAAAACTGTCGTATTTTACGCAGCCTTCCTCCGCCCGATCGGGCGAGGTTTGCCCGGTCTGACCGGGCGATGTTCAAGATTGCGCGATTTCAGCTATTTCCGAATTTCTATCTTTTGAGGGTATAAATACCCTTTTGTAATTAACTTTTAAAGAGAGTTTTTCATTAGTTTTTCTCCTTAAG